AATGGTAGGTAATGATAAGTAGGGCAGAAAACATCAGAAGGACAGTCATGCTCAGTTGGGCATGTGGTCCATCCATACCAAGGTCCTTTTCCTAGTAGAAGCACCAGAGGATGGTCTGTGGGAAGAAGTACCTTTTTCTGGTTTCAACCTGTATCACCTCATGTGGGGAACAAGTTTTTAATTTTTGAGCATATACTGGGATGCAGTATACCAATGTGTCTTTGGGTACCATCAAGATTTCCTAGACTTTGATCATATTTTCCACTTCTCCAGAATTTTTAGGATAAGAACTTTTTAAAGTTCACTTAATTGGCCAGTCCTGTTGTTGAATTGTTGTTTAATTTAAAGCATAAACTATGCTGGGGACAGTGGCACATGCCTGTAATCCCAGCTACTCCAGAGGCTGACACAGGAAGATCAGATGAGCTCTGGAGTTCCAGGCCAGCCTGGGCAATGTAGGGAGACTCCTGTCTTAACAAAAAAAAAACCCATGAAATAGTTGGGTCTTGCCAATGTAAGAAGTCATATGACAGAATCTTTTTTGAAATACCTGTGTCTGCTACATGCTAGTTGCTTACATTAATGCAACAAACACTTATTGAGCTTCTACAGTGAATCAGGTAGTATGTTATGAACATAGGATTCATAATTCCTGCCTCCGTGGAGTACTTTATAGTGGGGGAATAATATGTAAGCAGATAAGCACAAATAACTATGTAGTTACAATTGTAATAAATGCATTGGAGAGAAACACAACTATTTTCTAAAATGGATTTTTATTTATGCTCACCTTGTCTAGTGGGTGGCTTTGTACTCTTGAGCTCTTAGGATGGGTGCTCGTCAGTTCTGAGTCCCTTTCCCTCTAGGGTCAAGTTTTTTTTTTTTTTTTTTTTTTTTTTAGGTGCAGTCTTGCACTGTTGCCCAGGCTGGAGTGCAGTAGTGTGGTCTCTGCTCACTGCAACCGCTGCCTCCCAGGTTCAAGCCATTCTCCTGCCTCAGCTTCCTGAGTAGCTGAGATTACAGATACCCACCATCATACCTGGCTAATTTTTGTATTTTTAGTAGAGATGGGGTTTTGTCATGTTGGCCAGGTTGGTCTCAAACTCCTGGCCTCAGGTGATCCGCCTGCCTTGCCTTCCCCAAGTGCTGGGATTACAGGGTAAGCTACCTTGCCTGGCTATCAATGCTCTTCTTTTTGTGGTGCTGTATTGCAGGACATTGGTATCTTGCTCCACAGGTAATAAATGCCAGTAGCACTATAGAGTTGCTGTTTGACAACCAAAAAAGGCACTTTCATACATTTATTTTCAAACACTTCTCAGTGGTTGGTGTTGCCCTGGTTGAAAACTACTGGCTATACTGTCAGGATTCTTGGAAGGAGCTTTGAACAAAATCCTCTGGGAGAACAGACTGAAAGTAGGTGGTGCTTGAGACTTGGACTGGCCAACCCTTTTGGTGTCTGACTTGTGTGTTCATGTTTTTTAAGTAGGTATTTTGAAACTGCTTTCAACCCCGTTTTGCCGTTTCTCCTATTGAGGGTGAAGAGAGAGAATTAATGTCTATTGTGTGTGTACTTTGTGAACTGGTACTGTAACAAGCATTTCACATACTTATCATCTGAACTGTTTCGTATCTTTGTTAAACAGTTTTTAATCCCTGTTTACAGATAGTTCTGGTGCCAAGAGGTGAAGTGACTTGCTCAAAATGGTGTGAAACTCTATACGTTTTTTTCTTTTTAAAAAAGTACAACTTTAATTTATTTGATTGTCAGTTAACCTCCAGTTGATGACTTTGGGCTTCTGGTCTTAAGTGAGTGTATGGGACAGACCTTAATTGTTCTACAAATTTCTAAGCTCTACTGCCAGAAATTTAGCACTTGTTTAGGAGGATGATAGCTAACATTCTGGGTGCCAGAGGATTCAGTAACGAAACACATACAGACATATAGATTAAACAAGATAAATAAGTGAACTATGTAGTATGCTAGTGATACATGCTTGGGAGAAAAGGTTAATCAGGGACCAAGTATAGGAGTGTGCAGGATTAAAATCTTAGATAAGTTCACCAGGGAAGGCCACACTGAAGTGATGTTTGACATAAAAGTGAGCTATACTAATATCTGGGTGAAGAAAGTATTCCAAGTGGAGGGATCTGAATACAAAGGCTGTGAGGCTAGAGAATGCCCAGCTGATTTGAGGAACAGTTTTTTTGTTCTTTATTACTTTATTTGACCCTGAAGTGTCGTACTACTATCTGTTGTTGATGAGGAAACTGAGAGACGAAAGTTGAAAGTACCGAAGGGGCAGAGCTCTTAAGCTACTGCCTAGAACTGGCCATGTACAGTAGTCCTCCTTTATCTTTTCGGGGATGTCTTCCAAGACCCCCACTGGATGCCAGAAACTGCAGATAGTACCGGACTCTATATGTACAAATGCCCCTTGGTATCCGTGGGGGCCTGGTTCCAGGACCCCCTGAGGATACTGAAATCTGTGGAATATATAAAATCGCATGGTATTTGCCATATATACTATTAATATGTACATCCTCCTGTATATGTCAAATCATCTCTGGATTATACCTTATACAATGTAGATGTTACGTAAATAGTTATATTGTTTAGGGAATAATGACAAGCAAAAAGGTGTACACATTTGGCATAGGCACAAACATCATAGGCCTAATTATGTTTTGGTTTTTTTTTTTTGAGACAGAGTTTTGCTCTTGTTGCCTAGGCTGGAGTGTAGTGGTGCGGTCTTGGTCTTGGCTCACTGCAGCCTCTGCTCCAGGGTTCAAGCAATTCTCCTGTCTCAGCCTCCTGAGTAGCTGGGATTACAGGCATGTGCCACCATGCCAGTAATACATAATTTTTATATTTTTAGTAGAGATGGGGTTTCATCATATTGGTCAGGCTGGTCACAAACTCGTGACATCAGGTGATCTCCCCGCTTCAGCCTCCCAAAGTGCTGGGATTATAGGTGTGAGCCACCGCGCCCAGCCTAACTATATTTTTTATCTGAAACTGGCTGAATCCATGGATGCAGAACCCATGGATACAAAGATTTGACTATACTATGTTTTTTCCTATACATGCCTACCTATGATAAAGTTTAATTTATTTATTAGACACAGTAAGAGATTAACAATAACTAATGATAAAATACAACAATTATGTGATTATGGTCTCTTTCAAAATATCTTATTATATGTAATGTTTTCAGATTGTGCTTGACCATGGCTAACTTAAACTTTAGAAAGCGAAATCAAGGATAATGGGGTACTCCTGTAGATCCAAAGCATTTCGGTTCAGCATTAATGGGGATAGGGATTGCCAGGCCTCTAGAGTTTCACTTTCTCTTCTACATTCCCCTTTCCTGCTTTTGGGTGTAGGGGAGCATTTGTTTGTTTTTTTACACATAATTCTACCTCTGCCTACCTGAAATTTATATTCTAGTCAAGGATACAGATAGCAAGCAAGATAAATAAGTAAAGCATTAGTATGTTAGTGATACTTGCTCAGATGAACAAGAAAATCTGAGACTGAGTATAGGAATTTGGGAAAGCTTGATTTTGACTGAGAATGTTTCTCATTTGGGAATCTGAGGTACATTTCTGGTTTTTCTCTACTGGCCAGGCACTACCCTCTCCAAACCATTGTTTGGCTAAGGAAAATGAATGTACATCCGAATGAGACACACTGTGCTGGAGATGGATTGGCACTATAACAAGCATTTCACATACTTTTCATTTGAACTGTCTCATATTTTTGTTAATCAGTTTTTAATCCCTGTTTTACAGATGGTTCTGGTGCCAAAGGATGACGTGACTTGCTCAAATGGTGTGAAACTCTATACTTTTTTTTTCTTTTTAAAAAGGTACAACCTTCCAGCTTGGCCAACATGGTGAAATCTCATCTTCACCAAAAACACAAAAATTAGCTGGGCATGGTGGTGCAGGCCTGTAATCCCAGCTACTAGGGTGACTGAGGCAGGAGAGTCACTTGATCTGGGGAGTTGGAGGTTGCAGTGAGCTGAGATCGCCCCACTGCACTCTAGCCTGGGCGACAGAGTGAGACTCTGTCTCAAAAAAATAAAAAATACAACCTTAATTTGATTGTCAGTTAACCTTTGGCCATGTAGCCCAAATGCGCCCAGACTGAACATAAGAATGTCTTGAGATTAAAAATGCAGATTCCTGGCCAGGCACAGTGGCTTATGCCCGTATTCCCAGCACTTTGGGAGGCTGAGGTTGGCAGATCGCTTGAGCTCAGGGGTTCAAGAACAGCCTGGGAACATAATGAAACCCCATGTCTACAAAAGCTGGGTATGATGGTGTGTGCTTATAGTGCCAGCTACTCAGGAGGTTGAGATGAGAGGATCATCTGAGCCCAGGAGAGAAGGTCGAGGCTGCCATGAGCCATGATTGCACCCCTGCACTCCAGCCTGGGTGACAGAGTGAGACACCCTGTCTCCAAAAAAAGGGGATTCCTGACTGGGCCCCCATCCCAGAACTGCTAATTAAGAATCTGGAGGGTAGAATTGGATTGAGTAGCTGAGGAGGTTGAGGTGCAACCTGGTTGATTGTCTTGACCACTGCCTCATGAAGTTGGTTTGAGAACTGGGATTGGACCCCTGATGTACTACCTCTCAGTTTATTGCTCTTTGCACCTGGTTGTACTGCTTCCTTTGAGATAAAAAGTTGTAAAGAAGGGGGTGTTTAATTTTATTAGATTTTGTTTCATAGTTTTCTTGGAGTCTTTTTTGTTTTTTGAGACGGAGTTTCACTCATGTTACCCAGGCTGGAGTGCAATGGCGCAATCTCGGCTCACCGCAACCTCCGCCTCCTGAGTTCAGGCAATTCTCCTGCCTCAGCCTCCTGAGTAGCTGGGATTACAGGCATGCACCACCATGCCCAGTTAATTTTTTGTATTTTTAGTAGAGACGGGGTTTCACCATGTTGACCAGGATGGTCTCGATCTCTTGACCTTGTGATCCACCCGCCTCGGCCTCCCAAAGTGCTGGGATTACAGGCTTGAGCCACCGCACCCGGCCTCTTGGAGTCTTAATATTGTTTTTTATAACCCTAGGTTTTATTGTTTGTTTGTTAGTTTTTGGAGATGGAGTCTCGCCTCTGTCACTCAGGCTGGAATGCAGTGGCCGATCTTGGCTCATTTTGACTGCCACCTCCTGGGTGCAAACGATTCGTCTGCCTCAGCCTTCCTAGTAGCTGGTACTACAGGCACACGCCACCATGCCCAGATAATTTTTGTATTTTTAGTAGAGATGAGGTTTCACCATCTTGGCCAGGCTGGTCTTGAACTCCTGACATCGTGATCCGCCTGCCTCCCAAAGTGCTGGGATTACAGGCGTGAGTCAGCACACCCGGGCTAACCCTGGATTTTAAGGATACCTGAAGGGATTTTTTTTCCAGAGAAGTTAATTGGTTTCCTTAGTGGCTTTTGTAATTTGTTTGAAGTAGGGAGAAATTGGTTAGTTAAGTTTGGTCATGGAAAAAAGTGTTCTTCCTCATTTTAGGAAGAGTATTTTCTCTGGAAGTGATAGCCACCTGTTCTGGAAAAGGTGGCTAATGAAAGTGCTTTGGACGAAGAGAGAACGACTTATCATTGGTTGGAATTTATTAGTTTGATACTCTAGCTGCTTTATTTGAAGGGCTTTTTCTGGTGCCAAAGAAACGAAGTATCAGTCACCTGGTTGCAGTTTTTCTGGCATGCCTCTTTTTGTTAGACAGCTGTGAGGTGGTATTATTATGGGTGGTTCTCATAATCTGATTGAGTTTTGCTAGATGATTCAATGACTTTTCCCCTTTTGGTCTCCCTTTTCTAAGCTTAGTGAGTTTTCTCTTCTGGTCTGGAAGGATAGAGATGGTAGCCTATATATCTCTAAGCCTGAAGAGAATGAGGCCTTTGGTCTTGTTTTGCATGACTCTCAAGATGTTTTTGGTTTGACATCTGACTGCAAGCCCCTTCCTGGAGGTTTGATCAGGCTGGTGCTTTAGGGGATATCATCAGAATGGGCTAAGTCTGCAAAGCGGAATGTGTCCAGATCTTCTGGAATGGTTTCTGTAAGCAGAATGGGGTAGATAGAACTTTTCACTGATTGCGTGGTGGTTTTTTTGTTTCTGAGACAGAGTCTCACTCTGTCGCCCAGGCTGGAGTGCAGTGGCGAGATCTCGGCCCACTACAACCACCGCCTCCCAGGTTCAAGCGATTCTCCTGCTTCAGCCTCCCGAGTAGCTGGGATTATAGGCATGTGCTACCATGCCGGGCTAACTTTTGTATTTTTAATAGCGATGGGGTTTGGTCATGTTGGCCAGCCTGGTCTCAAACTCCTGACCTCAGGCAATCTGCCTCCCAAAGTGTTGGGATTATAGGTCTGAGTCACTGAGTCTGGCCAATTTTTATCCCATTTGGAAAACTGTTTTTTAGGGTGGTAGTTGCAAATAGTTGTTGGTGATTCCTCTCTCACCAAAGGCAGATGGTCAGTTTGTTTAGAACTTGAATGAACTAGAATGAAGAAATTGTGAAGTAGAAAACTGAGGTATGTTTCCTAGGTTATGAATGAAAAGAATCATCAGCTCGGCCTAAGGAAATCTTTTTTTTTTTTTTGAGACAGTCTCCCTCTGTCAGCAGGCTGGAGTGCAGTGGTGCAATCTCGGCTCACTGCAACCTCTGCCTCCTGAGTTCAGGAGACTATCCTGCCTCAGCCTCCCGAGTACCTGGGACTACAGGCGTGCACCACCATGCCAGGCTAATTTTTGTATTTTTAGTAGAGATGGGGTTTCACCATGTTGGCCAGGATGGTCTTGAGCTCTTGACCTCGTGATCTGCCTGCCTCAGCCTCTCCCAAATTTCTGGGATTACAGGCGTGAGCCACTGTGCCTGGTGGCTTCAGAAAATCTTTAGTGTTGTCTCTGTTGAAGCCAAATGAGAAGTTAGAAATCTCTTATTGTCCTAGGTCATATAAACAGTTATGTTTCCCCACTATTTAAGACAAGATAAAGGTAGTCTCCTTATTTTAGGAGGCAAGGTCTAGGGGTAGAACTAAGACCAGCAGGTTTCTGGACAATTTCTCCTCAGTTGGGGATTAAGGGGTCCTTGACTAGTCTTCAAAGAAGGCTTAAAGTACTAGGTGATAGAGAAAAGACAGGATAAGGGGCATTAGATACAGATGTCTTTGGCTGGGGAGAGAAGGGACAATGAGAATGATTTATGCTGGTCATTTGTATACCAGGGTACGTAGAGTGATTTTTTTTTTTTTTTGGTGGAAGGCTAGTCCGTCCTAAGATACTGCTCCTGAGATCTAAGTGAGCCACATGGAGCTGGGAAGCTCAAAACTGTTGGTTGGGAGAGGCCTTAATTTTTATACTGGTCCCTGCCTGGAATGCTCTCTCACAGAGGAGGGTCCCATACTGGAACTGGTTCAACAGCTGCCGCCTGTCCCTGGAATCACAGGAAGCGGAGGCCGGGGTGCCTTTGTATAGGAGCTCTGAAGCCAGACAATAGTTTGTGCTGGCGGGGCCATGTGGCAAGTCATGTGACCTGGGGCTGTTTTCTGCCGGGGTCCTTACCCATCTGTTCTCTCGGCTCTTTCTGGGTTATCAGGCGCCAGTCCAAGTCCTCCCAGGCAGCCAGCTTCATGGCCAGAGATTACGAGCACTAACCTTCCTGGCAGGGGCGGTGTGGCTTCGAGTTTATGCAGATTAGCCATGTGTTTCTCACTTCAAGGCGTTCCACAGGAAAAGCCTTTTCCTGTGTTTGGCTCTCAGTGGGCGGTTCCCAGCTTACTGTACTGGGACTCAGCAAGCAGCAGGCATGCACGAGAGGGATCACAGTACACTGGCCCCCCTCTCCATTCCACCTCCAATGCTACGTCACCACAACACAACCACTCGCGCTCTCATACTGTTGGTGTCATTCATTCGGTGCCAAGATTGCTTTAAAAAATTCCCTTGGCCCCAGTTCAAACAGGAGTACAGCTGGGATGTGTTAGATTTTAGGCAGTCTGCCCTCAATTTGAGATGAGTTATAAATAGCAGTGCCGACTTCCTTAACTACCGCTCTCTGAGGTAAAATGCAGGTTAATTACTGTGGGAATCAATTAGGGGGGTTCTTTTGGTTAAAGAGCCAGGGATGCATTTTTTTAATTGTTATTATTAAAAGTCATGTAACAAATCTAGCCAGGAATAAATTGAAAGCACAAGGAGTAAGAAATAATATTTAAATGTCCAAAAGCCAAGGTTATGATTCTAAGTTTACACTGGCCCCAAATAGCATTTAGGATGACAAAATGAGTGGTGGTCAACACTTCTCCCCTCTGATGGACACCTTTTTGGCAGCCCCTGACCCATCCCTCTCTGTTCTTATACTTGATAGCCCTTGGCACTGTTGAGTGCTAAATTTAGTTCCTTAGGGTTGCTGCCTGGTTACTTCTTTCTGTATCCTTGGATTGGAACTGGAGCTTTCCTCAGTTGGACTTTTATTTAAATAAAGAAGTTTCTCTTTCCTGGTGCCATTGCCACGTGGTGTGGTACATTTTTGTGAATGGTATCTCTCTACTTAGAAGTTCTGAGTTCTTGGCTCTGTCTTCTCTGCTCTTGTCTCAGTCATGGTCAGATGGAGATTTTGCAGCTATTTTAATCTGTGAATTTCACGAAGCTGGTTACTTTGGGTATAAGACATTTAGCCCCCGTCCACCTTGAAGTCTAGGCTGTTATTTCAGCAGTTTCTGAGGGTCATTTTGGTTTTCCTTGATGGAGTAAGTTGTAAGAGTTTCTAGTAGCCGACTAGTCTGGAGGGTCTTGTAATTGTTTGCTTGGAGCAAGGGAACTCCCTATGGAAGGGGTTTGTCTGCTAGCTGTTTGTTCTGAATATATTCAGAAGGACAAGCCTACTAGAAGTCCTTGCCTTTGATGCCCCTAATCTGCATCTTTTGATACATTTCATTTGGCAGGCAGTTTATAACATGGCTGGTGATCTGGAAGGAGATAAGTGGTGGATGGAGATGAGGAGTTTTCTTATGGCTCTTTCCCCCTTTATTTTTGTTTTTTATGAATTCAGGAGAGTATATAGCAGGGGGCCCGACTTTGCTGATCAAGGGGCAGCATTTTCCTCTCAATTATGTGTCTCTGTGGCAGAGCCTTTGCTTTTGAAGTGTAATCACGGTAATCTACTCCTGTGGTTTCCCATTGAAAGGATTTCCTCTGTCTTTCCCAGAGTGGAATCTCTGGATTTTTGCAGCTAGGGTTTGGTGTTTCCATCTCTTGCCTTGTGCCTGCAGACTGCTGATACTGGCTTTTGTATCTTGCATGTAGGGATTTTCTGTCCTGAAATTGCTACTTTCCAATAAAACTGATTAGTGAAGATTTAAGGCTCCTTCTCTGTTACAAGAGATTAGGAGATGGCATTTCATCTATAACTGCAAATCACAAATCTTTCACGATCGTTTTAAGTATCATAGTGTGAGTTAGGTCCCTGTCCACCTACCCTTCTGATCTGAGCAGGATGTCTAACTTTGACAGGAGACCTGAGTAATCTGATTGTTTGAACTGAATATATATATACTTAGCTTGCCAAATAGGCTGCATATTCTGTTGATCATAAGCCTTTTGTGATGGGAGGGAGTCAGAAATCTGATGACCAGAAAAAGGAAGCATCTTCATTTTATTTTTAGAATAAAAATTTCTTTGATGTACATTTATTTTTGTCTACAAAGATTCTTAAAGTCGAGGTGGGACCTTCCTTGAACCCTTCATAGCCCTTGTGTAAGTAATTATACTTGATTGGGAGTGCAGGCCTCCGTGTCAGAGAGGAAAAGGTGACTTGTCCTTAGCCTTTTGTTTTCAAGCAGTGTATATGGGGATGCCCCCGAAGTTTTGAAATTCTCCCTGGTATAAACTTTTTTTTTTTTTTTTTTTTTTTTGAGACACAATCCTGCTCCGTTGCCCAGGCTAGAATGCAGTGGCATAATCTCCACTAGCTGCAGCTTCTGCCTCCCGGGTTTAAGCGATTTACTGCTGACTAGCTGGGATCAACAGGTGTGCGCCACCACGCATGGCTTGTATTTTAGTTAGAGAAGGGGTTTCACCATGTTGGCTAAGCTGGTCCAGAACTCCTGACTTCAAGTGATCCACTTGCCTCAGCCTTCCAAAGTGCTGGGATTACAGGCATGAGCCACCGTGCCCAGCCTTGTTTTTTTTGTTTTTTGTTTTTTGTTTTTGTTTTTTCATTTTTCTCTCTTTTTTTCCCCCCCAAGACAATCTTGCTCTGCTGCACAGACTGGAGTGCAGTGGCATGATCTCGGCTCACTTCAGCCTCCACCTCCCAGGTTCAAGTGATTCTCACACCTCAGCCTTGGAGTAGCTGGGACTACAGGCATGCACCATCACACCCAGCTAATTTTTGTTTTGTGTTTTTGCTTTGAGATGGAGTTTCACTCTTGTTGTCCAGGCTGGAGGATAGTAGGGCAATCTCGGCTCACTGCAACCTCCGCCTCATGGGTTCAAGTGATTCTCCTGCCTCAGCCTCCCCAGTAGCTGGGATTACAGGCGCCTGCTACAGCGCCTGGCTAATTTTTTTGTATTTTTAGTAGATACAAGTTTCACCATCTTGGCTAGGCTAGTCTTGAACTCCTGACCTCGTGAGCCACCATGCCCCGGCCCCCAGCCAGATTATTCTTAAAGTGTACTTGTTCTCCCTTGAATATTCCCATCCTTATATCTCCTCTTTCACTTCAGTCCAAAAAAAAATTTTTTTTTTAACCTTCAAAGTCATAACCTGTGTTAGGGTTAGATTTAGGGTATGACCCTGGCCTTACGGCTGGATTTAATTTGGGCTTTGTCCTCATAGTGTCTCCTACCCACTTTTTGGACTAGGACAGCATTGCACAGTGAACAGTCACTGAGCCCAAGCTCTGCGCTTAGGTATTTGGAAGCGCTTTGAAGATAAAACACCTGATCTCTGGCTTCCCAGAACTTAGTCTTGAGAAATGCAATCAGTTAGTTGGAATGGTTAGCTGCAACTAAGTGTTAGCTATTAGGACGCTAACTGAATTTACAATGGAGCATTTAGAAATGTGGGAGATCAAAATGTGCTGAAGATACAGCAAGTGGCTTCATTTTAAAAGGTCAAGTTTCTGTTACTAGAAGCCACTGTGGATGGGAGGGCAGGGCAGGATGCCACTGCATAAAGCTGGGCATATATATACAGTATGTGGGGAATCTTAGAGTAAGACTGAAAAAATGTGGAAAACTGGACCACATTGTAGAGGGCTTTAGAGCCAGGTAGAAGCACTGTTTATCATTACTAATAATTGCCACCATTTATTGGACATTTAATTAACAGGTACTGTGTGAAGTGTGTTACGTACATTTAAAGAACTGATATTTTCAAGATAGGATGGTGAGAGAGGTAGGATTTGTACCTTAGTCTGTCAAGTTACTACACTCTGTGCTCTTTCTACGTAACAATACTGTGCAGGATTTAGTAGTTAGGAAGTTTGGAACCATTATTGAGCAGGGAGTGGTGGAAGTGATTTGGGAACAGCATTGTCCTAGAACTACCATAATAAGCCACTAGCCACATATAGTTATGAGAATTTAATTAAATGTAAATAAAAATAAAAATTCATTTTCTTAATCATATTTCAAGTGTTTAATAGTTATCCATCACAGAAAATGTTATTGGCCAGTGTTTCTCTAGATCACTGGTTCTTAACTAATAGTATACACCAGACTCATTCAAGGATCTTAAGGAGGTTGGAGAAGAGCACAAGCCCTTTCAGACCCAGTAAATTGGAATCTCTAGGGAGAGGCCTAACCATTTATGAAGCTTCACAGAAAATTCTAATCTGCAGCCCTAGTTAATAGCTGCTGCTCTAAAAGCTCTATAGTAACCATGGTAATGACTGCCCCTCATGTTGTGGGAAGATCTAGACTGACAGAGATACCCAGAGCAGTCCGGTCTCTTTGTTCAAGAAACATAGTCTCTCCAGTTGGAGGCCACATGGACAGCAGCTGCAGTCTGGGATGAGATGAGGACCTCAGTGTGATATGTGGCATGATATGGCCATGTAAGCCCCCAAGCTCTTTACAGGAGAGAATGGTGATGTTTTGGCTCCATTGCTAGGTGTACTAGGGAGGACCATATGCTATTAATTGTTGTTAAATTCAAACTTCCCAAGTAATCTTAAAATCTATGTAGCTCTAAAATTATAATTGGGAATTTACTGGAGCTTCCGATGTAAGTCTTGGGCAAAAATTGTTGAGTTAGGATTGTTGGAAACAGTGATCATATTGACATGTAGTAGTGATTTGGGACAGTTTCACTATGATTTTGTATAGTTTAGAAACATGGGGCAGGAGTATTCCCATCATTGCTTACCAGTTTAGCTGAGATTTCAGCTATAGTCTAAGAGATAACTCTGCTTCTTTTTTCATTTTGATACTCAGAACAGCCCCTGTGGTTTATTGTCTTATTCATTTACCTTCATGAAAGCTCTACTTCTACTGTAAAACACTTAATAGCATCATTAAAAAATAAAAAAAACACATACAGAGAACCAGTTGTTTAGCTGTCCCTTTCCTTTATTTTGGAGGTTTTGTTGTTGTTTTAAGGTCTTACACATCTTAAATTATAGGATAGCTTATTATTGAATAATAGAACTGGGAGGAACCCTAAGGATAACCTAGACCACTCCTGGAAGGTGGGTGCCAGCAGTCTGTTTTAACAAGCCTTTCAGGTGATTTTGATGCATGCCGAAATCAATGAACCACTGAACCTCATTTGACAGTTAATGATAGGCCTGGAGTATCAGTATCTACTTTACCCCCAATCCAGTTTTTGTATTTTTTCTGAGATGGCATTTTGTGCTTGTTGCCCAGGCTGGAGTGCAGTGGTGTGATCTCGGCTCACTGCAAACTCTCCCTACCAAGTTCAAGCGATTCTCCTGCCTCAGCTTTCCCAGTAGCTGGGATTACAGGCACATGCCACCATGCCTGGCTAATTTTTGCATTTTTTATTTTTTAAAATTTTAGACGGGAGTCTCACTCTGTCACCCAGACTGTAGTGCAGTGGGATTATCTCGGCTCACTGCAACCTCTGCCTCCTGGGTTCAAGCAATTCTGCTTCAGCCTGCCAAGTAGCTGGGACTACAGGCATGCCTCACCATGCTCAGCTAGTTTTGTATTTTTATTAGAGACAGGGTTTCACTGTGTTAGCCAGGACGGTCTTGATCTCCAGATCTCATGATTTGCCCGCCTCGGCCTCCCAAAGTGCTGGGATTACAGGCATGAGCCACCGTGCCGGGCAAATTTTTGCATTTTTAGTAGAGATGGAGTTTCTCCATGTTGGTCAGGCTGGTCTTGAACTCCCAACCTCAAGTGATCCGGCCACCTCAGCCTCCCCATAGTGCTGGGATTACAGGCTTGGGTCACCGCGCCCGGCTCTTCTTGTTTTTTTTAACTTCCATGACAGCCTACCATTGAATCTTTTTGTCTCTCAGAGAGACAAAAGTTCTGTCCTCCTCATATGTTTAAACTCTTGAATGTTAAAGGAAATGAGCTTTTCAGTTGAGATGCACAAGGCTCTTAATTCAGAGTTACCGTTCCCTCAACTACTGTCACTCAGCTTCTTTGCTTATTTGAAAGAATGCATAAATTTAACTGTGCCATAGTGCAAACAAGCTATAGATGTGTAAGGAAAGTTTCCATTATTGGAAGAATAGAAACATCTAGATGTTTGTGTATTTATTTGAATTCCCAGTCATAATATTGAAACATCAGTTTTGGTGTTTAACAAGGTGATGGCCGTGCAAAGCAGCACTGTTTTCTACCAACTGAAAGGCCTTTGTTTGCACCTGGCTGTCCCTTGGATCTCAGGCAGTACCACAGTTAAAAGGAGTTTTTAGCTTGCAAGGTGTTTTCACAAATAGGTGATATTTTCATTTTTCAAATGACAAAATCAGGGTTCTGAGGCAGGTCAGTTGATTTAAAGGTTACTAGGTCAGTCTCATTGCTCTTTCAAAGTAACTCGATTTCTTTGTAGCATACAGACTCAAAAAACCTGTATACTTGGATTGTATATTCAGTGGCCAGAGGCTGTCAAAGCTCAGGTTAATGAAATGCTCTTTATTTTGTAGCCATCCAGTCCAATGGATCAGATGGGCAAGATGAGACCTCAGCCATATGGCGGGACTAACCCATACTCGCAGCAACAGGGACCTCCGTCAGGACCGCAGCAAGGACATGGGTACCCAGGGCAGCCATATGGGTCCCAGACCCCGCAGCGGTACCCGATGACCATGCAGGGCCGGGCGCAGAGTGCCATGGGCGGCCTCTCTTATACACAGCAGGTAGATGGTGATTCTGATTACCTTGACCCTTGTTGCTGTCCAAAATCTAGTCTATGAGCTATAGAATCAGAGTGTATACTTGGCATCTAAGCCTCTTGACAGGAACGTAGATCATTTGGCTCAGTTAATTACAGTGTGCTACTAACAAAGCCAAAGCTGTGGGTACCATCCCATGTGTGCTCCAAGGAAAACTACTCGCTGGTCACAGGTACATATCTCTTTTTCTCTTGACCTGACTGGCCAGCTTATACCTAGTGAGTGGTGATCTCTGAATGAAGTGGGATGAAAGGCAGTGGCTGAACACCTAGGCACTTCTACTACTAAGAAAACCATTCATACCACGTGCCCTGTGGATGGATGATGCCCTTTATGTTTCTGAAGGCCTTCAGCATATCTGCCGTCTGGTTCAAAATGAATGTTACTGGGAGTAGAAGAAAAGGGGAAGATTGAACGGAAAAGATGTTAACCTCGTTGTTACAAATGTTGAGATTTCCCCTTATCCATCTCCTTTTGTCGGACCATTCACTTTATTATCTCTTTATTGTCATTCTTTGTGTTGACAAAGTTTTCTGCCATTTATATTTGAATGTTACTCATACTGAAAATAGGGAGAAAATATAAAATCAAATTTCACTTCTAAGACTTTAAAGTATGCCCTTTAATATAGAAAATTGTCTCTTAATAGAGGAGAAATGAGGTAATATTTTGTTTTTTGTTTATTTTTTTTGCCTGCTTAGTAAATATATCCCCAGTGCCTAAAATAGTGCCTGGTACAAGTAATTGAGTAGGCTCTCAAATATTTTTTTGAATGAAGACTAAATGAAAGAGAGAACCAAAGTAGCTTAGTGATTTATACAGTCTGAATTACTAAACCTTAGGTTTTCAGCTGGCTGAACCAGACTGCTATTGACTATTCATTGTGGTTAGGTTACAGATTCCTAACACTTATAAAAACAGTCTAGGCTGTGATAAAAAGAGTAGGCTCATTTGTAGAAACAGCTGCTCTTAAACTCACGTTAGTTGCCCAGATGGTAAATAGTGTAAATTTTCAGTGGATGAATGTGTAGTCCACTTGTAAACAAACCACCTAAAAACCCAGCTTGGCCATCTTCCTTGGCTCAGTTTAGGCAGGGATGAGAGAAAAACCCTGGGCCTCCTAAGTATGGGGCCTGGCATGCTTACTTTCTATACTCATCCTCAGCGTGTAGCTTCTGACAAAACACTTCATGTTTCCTCATTCAGGAGAGTCAGTACTAAAAGTATTTTTTCCTTTCCTACAGATTCCTCCTTATGGACAACAAGGCCCCAGTGGGTATGGTCAACAGGGCCAGACTCCATATTACAACCAGCAAAGTCCTCACCCTCAGCAGCAGCAGCCACCCTACTCCCAGCAACCACCATCCCAGAACCCCCATGGCCAACC